GATAGAGCAGGGTTTAGGGCTGTTGTGCATAGGGTCGCTATGAGTCGGAAACGACTCGACGGCACATAACAACAACAACAACAACAACCTTACATGGCTAAAATCAGGAAATGTGTATGTCAGGGATGTATCCTTTCTTCATACCTACTCTCTGCATGCTGAGTAAATGATTCAAGGAGCTGGACTATACGAAGAACATAGCATCAGGATTAGAGGAAGACTCATCAACAACCTGCTTTATGCAGATGACACACACCTCACTTACAGAAAGAGAAGAGGACTTGAAACACTTGCTGCAGAAGATCAAAGACTACAGCCTTCAATAAAGGTTACATTCCAACATTGAGAAAACAAAAACCCTCACCACTGGACCAATAGGCAACATCATGATAGACGGAGGAAAAATTGAAGTTGTCAACTTCATTTTACTAGGATCCACATGAATATTTTTATGTAAGAACTCCCAAATTCCATTTTGGTCCCATTCAAATCCCACAGCCATTGAGTCAATTCTGACTCACAATTAATTTACAGGTTTTTCCACTGCTGAATCTTTATAAAAACAGACTGCTACATCATTCTCCCTTGGTACTGCTGGTGGTTTTAAATTGCTAACCTTTTGGTTAGCAGTTGAGTGCTTTAACCACCATGCCACCAGAGTTCTGTAGAGGCCTAGGGGTAAGATGCTGCATTGAACCTCAAAAATGCACACTGTTCAAACCCAACAGCTGCTTTATGGAAGACGGATGGGCAGTATTTTCCTAATTGTCTAGTTTTGAAAACCACTAGGAAGTCAGCTGGAGGGTTGGTTCTGACTCGATAGCACATTACAGCAATAACTAAGTTTTAAGGACAGGCTGCTTGGCAAACAAATAATGTTAGTAAACAAATATCCCCCACCCCCCGGGGCCCCATACCTCTGGTCCATGGTTACCTCTTAATTTCATTTCATACCTGGGTTTAGAAAACGTGGATTTGCCCAAAACTGCATTCCTCAGCAATTCACGGAGTTGACTGTGGGTTACTTCACAGTTTTCCACAAATAAAACTGATGATAAGTGAGGTTTCTGAAAAATTTAAGTCAGGGCATAGCAACTCATGATTATAAAGAAGAGCAATAACAGAAGGCAAATTATTAAATTATGCATGTTTCTTATTCTTTTAACATATATCCAAAGAGGAAGACTAATTAATTGAAAATAGAGGTTTAAAACAGCATGTATATAACATAATTAAATGATTAATGTTGTTATGTGTCATCAAGGTGCCTGTGACTCATAGCAACCCTATGTACAATAGTTCTGAACTCTGCTCTAACTTGAGCCAGTCTCACTGTCTCCAGCAAACGCACCCCCATTACCCCAGTTACTGAATCAATCCACCTGATGTCCTGCACTGTTCCCTCCACCCTTCTAAGCATGTTGTCCTTCTCCAGGGACTCGTCCCTCCTGGCCACATGTTCAAAGTATGTGATATGGAGTGTCCAAATCCTTGCTTCCTCCAAGGAGCAGTTTGGTTTCACCTTCTCTGGTGTTATCCTTTTTATAAGGATAAACTTGTTCTTGTTCAATACTCTTCTCCAGCACCACAACTCAAAGGCATCAATTCTTCTTCTGTCATCCTTAGTCATCATCCAGCTCACTGATGCATACTAAGTAATTGCAAAGACCATGGCCTGAGTCAGGAACACCTTAAGTCTCCAGACTGATATTGTTGCTCTTTAGAACTTTGGAGAGGTCTCTGATAGCTGCTTTTATGGGAAGCCAAATTTCACACCAAATATTAACAGGAAAACCATATGCTTATTCAGGAATTGAAGGAATCACATAAGTTGAAATTTCTCTTGTGACAGATCACAGGAAATGAGCTGTTTCCTGCAGACAAGAGACAGCTAGGGTCCCCTGCAGAGGTAGTGTTAATACCTACTTCCTGAGCTAAAACATTAGGTTGACAATAGAGAAAAATATAGTTTCATTTACAAGTGAATTCTTTATAATTTGCTTCCCCTGATTCTCAGTAAATACACAGAGAGGCGTGACTTGTGGCGCTTCAGTTGATTTGATCTGCTGGTCCCCTTTTTAATGCTGTTTTATCTCATTCTTGGTGTTTTGTCTCATTATTATTAATATACTTTATCCTTGGTCTGCAACATGCTTTCCCCAGAGCAATTGGTGTTGATTGTGGAACCAACGAAGCAAACTGAAATTTTAAAAAACCACAATCTCTTCACTGAACTCTTCTAGTGCTGCCAATTGGCCCAGTGGTAAGAATCTGTCTTCTCTCAATCCATATGGAAGACTACAGTTCTTGACCTTCTGCAGTAAATGCTTCAGGTCTTCCTCAATTTTAGCCAACAAGGCGTGCCATCTGTGTAATGTAGGTTGTTGATGAGTCTTCCTGCAATCTTGATACCACATTCCTCCTCATAAAACCCAGCCTCCTGAATCATCTGTTCCACTAAAGATTGAAAAGGTATGGAACAGGGCACATCCATAACTCACTCCTTTCCTGATTTTGAACCATGCAGTGTTTTCTTTGCCCTGTTCTGATCACTGCTTTCTGGTCCAAGTATTGGCTTTGCATGATCACAATCAAGTGTTCTGGGATACATCTTCTTCTCACTGTTGCCACAATTAGTTGTGATCCACATAATCACAGTCAATGAAACACAGACAGACATTCATCTGGAAGTCTTTGCTTTCAGTCAAAATCCATCTGACATTGGTGATAATGTCTCTGGTGTCAGTGCCTCTTCTAAAGCCAGCTTGTGTTTCTCTGTTGTTGTAATTCTCTGTTGATGTACTGTTCCAGTCATTTATGGATAATCTTCAGCAGAATTTTGCTTGAATGTATTATCAGTGATATTATTTTATAATTTCCGCTTTGGGAATAGGAATAAAATGGATCTCTCCAGTCAGTTGGCCAGCAAGTTGTCCCCAGATTTCTTGGCATAACTTGGTGAGCACATCCAGGGCAGCATCTGACTGCTAAAATATGTCAATTTATATTCCATCAATGCCTGGAGCCTTGTTTCTTGCCAATTTCTTCAGAGCAGCTTGAACTTCCTCCTTTATCACCACTGCCTCTTGATCATATGTTGTTTCATGAAGTTCTTCTGTGTCAGCCAATTCTTTCTGGTACATGCTATCTTCTTTTAATGCTTCCTGGATCGTTCACTATTCTGCCCATAGCATCCTTAAGTATTGCAACTCAAGTCTTAAATTTGTTCTTCAGTTCCTTCAGTTTGAGAAATGCCAAGCAGGCCCTTAAGTTTTCTGACTACAGCTCTTGGCACATTTCATTGTAATACTTTACTTTGTCTTCCCATGCGTCCCTTTAAAATCTTCTGTTCCTTAACTTCTTGATTCATTCCCTTTGCTTTGGTTTCTCAGTGCCCTAGTGCAATATTCAGAGTCTCTGCTGATATCCATCTTGGTCCTTTCTTCTTCCTTTGTCTTTGCAATGACCTTCTGCTTTCTTCATAAATGTTATTCTTAATATCATTCCAAAGTTTATCTTGTCTTTGCTCATTAATGTTTAAAGCTTCTGAGTTGGTTTTTAAATTCAGGTGCGAGAGACTCAAGGTCAACTGTGGTTCTTAATGATTTGATTTCATTTTCTTTAGCTTTAGTTTGAACTTGCATACATCAGTATAGAATCTGTATTATACTTAGTTATGTGCTAGGAACAGAAGAATAAATAAAACCATGACTCTCACTTTCAAAGTGTCCAGTCTACCAGGAAGGAAATCATAGAAACAGGTAATCCTAATACAACTGCTATTAAAAGTGCATTGTAAAAGCATGAGAACAAGAAGGCTAAACTGCTGTGGGAGGTTAGTTTGGAGACAGCCTCACTGAAATGAAAATATTGGAAGAACAAACAACATACCTAGGGTTGGCAGTGTAACATATTACAACTATGCTACTACGGCTCTAAAAATGATGCCTTAAATTGTGACACAGGTGAAAAATACTGACTACACCACAGACTGCCAATCAAACAAATCTGTCTTGGAAAAAGTGTAGTCAGATTGCTCCTAGGAAGCAGGGACAATAAAACTCCATAACTCACATACTTTGGGGAAGCTATCAAGAGGGACCAATCCATACAAAGGGCATCCAAGTAGAGAGTTAGTGCACGTGAAAATGAGGAAGGCTTCCCACAAGATTGACACAGTGACTACAACAATGGGCCCATATACAGCAGTCATTGTGAAGAGGGCTCGGGACCACACAGTGTATTTGTTGTGTGCCATTTGGTTGGGACCGACCCATAGCTGACCTTCCAACAGGTTTTCAGAGACAGTAAATCACAGAGGAGGAGACTGTCCTTCCTTCTCCCACGAAACAGCTGGTGATTTGAACTGTGGGCCCTTGAGAATGCAGTGCAGCTTCTCACTATGAGGCCACAAGGCTCCCTGTTTTGTCTAGAGGGTCAATAGAAATTGGAACCAACTCTGTAGTATCCAATAACAAGACTTGAAAACAATGAGCTTATATGCTACAGGGACCATCATGCCCACAATTAGTGTACTTTAGCTTGAAGTACAAATATGAGTTATATAGAGTAGTGGAGATATGAGAGTAGAAGGAAACAGATGTCAAGTAATAGGTCAAAGAAATAGGTTACGCTAAAACTGAAGACTCTGGCCTTAAGAGTTTTGCACATATATTTGGTTAATAAAGTATCATGTGAAAATTACAAGACCCAGAGAAAAGTACACAAAGGGTAAAAGAAGCCCACAGTCCTCAAACTGATTCCAATTCATAACGATCCAACAGGGCTGAACAGAACTGTTTCACAGTGGTTCCAAGGCTTTAAATCTTTATGGGGCCCAGTGACTCCTCTTTCTACCTTGGAATGCTGATGGGCTTCAACCACTTTTGGTTAGCAGCCTAACACTTAATCTAGCATTCCACAAGCAGTTCCAAAAGATAAGTCTCTGTAACTATAGGAAAATTCAAACACAATTCACATTTTCATTTTGGTCTGGAAGAGAGAAGAGTATAGTGGCTAAGAGCCACAGCCCTAAAGTCAGACAACTTCCATTAAAATATGAAGATCTACCATCTTGGACAAGTGCCTTCACCTCATTGAGACTCCATTTCTTTATCTATACTTCACAAAATTATGAAGGCCAGCCAGTGCAATAGTACAAGTGTAATGTGCTTAGGATAGTGCAAGATATATCAGTCTAACAACAAATATTATTATGACTGTTTTTCCTTAAGATGCCTGGTTGTTAATCAAGGGGCTTGTGGTAGAAGGCTATACAGAGGTGCATCAGAAGAAATTCTCAGCTATCTATTTTCAAATCTCAGTCACTGAAATCCTTTGGAGCACAGTTCCACTCTGAAAAACATGGGGTTGCTGAGAGTTGGAATCTGTAAAACGATACTTGGCTTTTTTTTTTCCTTTATATTTTAAATCCTAGGAGATACTGACTCCAGGGATAGGCTAAGGAATACCTAAGGTAGCCATTTTCTGTTCAATAAAGCTTCTGCACAAAAAAAAAAAAAAAAGGAATACCTAAGGTTAACCTGGAGCACACTTTTGTGCCAGAAGGTAATGCTTAGGAAAGTAAAAGTCACATTGAAAGGAGATGGAAACCAGTTTAATCATCAAATATTGGATATTTTGAGCATCAAATTGAATATGTTGTTGTTGTTGTTAGGTGACATCGAGTTGAGCACAACTCACAGTGACCCTATGAACAAAAGCTTTGAACCCTGTTCTATCCTGTGCCATCCTCACACTTCCTGACACACAAGAGCCCATACAGAACTAGAATATAAACTGTTTAATGTAATAGGAATCCATGAATCCATATTGAGGGTGTTTTTTTTTTAAAAAGTTAACAGTTTGATGAAAGAACATTTCCTACAAAATATTCATTACAGGAGCTCTGGTGGCCTAGTGGCAAGAAGCTGCAACTACAATCCCAGAGGTGCACGGTTCGAATCCACCAGATGCTCTGCCGGGTAAGGAGGGGCAATCTCCTCCTGTACCAGTCAGATCTGATTTGACGGTACACGCACACAAAAATAATAAAATAAAATAAAAATTAAAAAAAAAATATTCATTACAAAGGGCCAGAGTAACTTTAGAAAATCTCAGCAGGCACTAACTTAAGTAATCAAAAGTACTATCACCAATAACAGGACTAATCAAAATGCTGGTAATCATGTCTGGTTACATGAGTATCAAAGCTGTGATCTTCCTGCCAAATATAGTATAGCCTAAATCTAAAGTTAAAATGCAAGGTAAGTTACACACTTAACTTGCAGGTCATTTGTTTTGTTTTGTTTGTTGTTGTTATTGTGTACCGTGGAATTGGATCCGACTGGCACAGGAAGAGGTTGCCCCTCCTTTTGTGGATTCAAACCGTGTGCCTTCGGTATTGCAGCGTAACTTCTTGTCACTAGACCACCAGAGCTCCCCGAGGGGCATTTTACAAAGCGACTAGTTCAATAATCTAAAATAAAATAGTAAGCTCTCTCTACACCTATGGAAGTTATTTGTGCTGGGAGGTTTCTTTTTTTTTTTGGAAGGGGGTGGGGGTAGAGAAGACATTTCTTTAAAGTTATGAAAGACCAGAATTTAAAATGCCCTGAAAGATGAAAAAGGAGAGAGTTCACTAAGGCCAGGAAAAGTCTGAGGGCTGTTCAGCTTGAAATGTCAACCCAACAACCACACCACAATGAGCCTACTGCTGCACTACTGTGTCACACAATCTTGCTCAAAGTCTTCCTCACTTTTGCTAACTCTACTTGACCAGGCATGCTGTCCTTTCTCCATGAATGGGCTCCCTCTGAAAAGACAACTAAATGCAACATGGTTACAGACTAGATCCTACTGGTAGAAATGCTGAAAGCACCTAGAGAAAGGTGAATGCGTTCAGAGATTTAGAATACAACTAACATATCAGTTAACATCCCAGATTCTGATGGTTGTAAATGACGTTATACAGGAGGATGTCCTTGTTTCCAGTTAACACTAACTGGTGGGGACATTGTGTCTGCAACTGCTTTCAATTCGTTGTGTAGTGTTGTCTTCCAATTCTATGTTGTCTCAAAATTTAAAAGTGATGAAACTGTCAATTACTATACAGTTATCTATCCCCTTTTTCCCCCCCACCCCTAAGCTGAGAGGCTAAAATCTAGAATTCCATTTTGACAATATTTTTCATAGTTTTATTTTTTTATGTGCTGTCCAGTCGGAACCGACTCCCAGCTGACCCTCCCAGCGGGTTTTAACAGGCTGTAAATTGTATGGGCGGAGACTGCCCGTCCTGCCCCCAAAGAACAGCTTGGTGGATTCGAACCTCCTGCCTTTGGAAAGGCAGCGAGTAGCAAACACCCTTTTTAAAAAAAAAAAAAATTTGTTCATTTTAATGAACGTTTACAGAGACCTTGGATTTCCATTCTTTCATTGTTGCTCGTTTCTCCCTGCCCAACCTCCCCCCAATTCGCTCTTCTCTTTGAAAAGTAAAATATCTTTGTTATACAGTCCCTCCCCCAAGGTGCACTCCACTAGGCAGCCTTCGTTCTCGACTCCTGTCATGACAACAATACCTAGTAAACGCTCCTTTTAACATACTACATAGCCTTTTTTTTTTTTAAGGCTTCAGTTTTTATTTTCTTGAAAATAACATTTTCCTCTTATCCTGGTTTACTTACAGAGTTCGTCTACACTGTTTTTATTTCACACCGTATAGCTTTTTTTAAAGCTTTCTTTTCTTTCCCCCCTTTTATCTTCTCAATCACAATCAAAAACAAAGTGGCGGGCAGTGACTTCAGGGGGCTCGGCGGCGAAGGGGCTGAGTGGACGGCGTGAGGCTTGGACCCTGAAGTCCACTGGAGGCGAAGGGTTCTGTGCACGAGCCCTTCTCGGAACCGACCATTCCTGATGTCAGAGCCGCGTCCAGCGCGGACGGGGACCCCGGACGCCCCCGGAACCCCCCGGGCCCCCCCTCTCAGCCGCCCATGGGTGTCGGGGTCCCCGGGGCTTACCTTGGCCTCAGGGGGCCTGTCCTCCCGATCCCGGGCTTTCGCGCCCTCGGCCGCCTCCACCGGCCTCTGGAAGGCTCGTTTCCTCCTCCTGCACTTAGAGAGCCTTCTGGCCTTCTCCTCCTCCGACTCCATGAAGACACGGAGAAAGACCAGCTACTGAGGCTGCGGGAACCCCGACGCCCCGGCTGTCGGGCCCCCCGGCTGGCTGCTGGAGGGAGGCCTGTAATCAATTAATCAATCGCCCTCAGCTCCGCTCCTCGCCCGTCAGTTACAGAGCGTTCTGGAGCAACCCCGAGGGGCGAGGGGACTGAAGACGCCAGCCGAAGCGCTAAGGGGAAAACCCCGCAAGCTCAACGGCTTTAACGACTTTTAACGTCCGCCGAAAACATTCTAAACCGCCGTCCCGAACTTCCCGGGAGTCGGCGTGACGTCAGGGGGCGTTACCAAGAGATTCCCCGCCCCGAACAAGACAAACAGACCACGCCCCGGACACGCCCACAGACAACGCCTCCTGGGAGGCTGGCGGGGAGGGCGGAACTCACAGCCCTTTTTTAAAAAAAAAAAAAAAATTATTTTAATCATTTTAATGAACATTTACAGAGATTTTGGATTTCCATTCATTCATTGTTGCGCTTTTCTCCCTGCCTAGCCCTCCCCCCACCCCACCCCCAGTTTGCTCCTCTCTTTGAAAAAGTAAAAGAAAAATTCTTTGGTATACAATCCCCCCACTCCTCCCCCACCGCCCCAGGTACGCTCCACTATGCAACCTTAATTCAGGACTCTTGTGATAACTATAATACCCTATCATATATCGCTTTTAAAGTATTCTCTCCCTCATCTGTTTCAATGCAGTGTAGATAATTTATCCAGTTTTTCTTAGTCTTACCCCAACCCTCATGTCAGTCCCATTCTACAACAGCGGCACCATGCAGTATTTGTCCTTTTGTGACTGAGATATTTTACTCAACATAATGTCCTCCAGGGTCACCCATTTTGATTAATATTGCATGGGTTCCTTGTTTTTCAATGCAGCATGTGGGCACTTAGGTTGTTTCCAACTCTTTGCTATTGTGAACAAAGCTACGATAAACATGGGTGTGCATGTATCTGCTTGGGTGTCAGTTATGGTCTCTTTGGGGTATATTCCCAGTAGTGGAATTGCTGGGTCAAATGTTATCTCTATTTGCAACTTTTTGAGAAAGCGCCATCCCGCCTTCCACAGTGGTTGCACCATTCACCAACAGTGAATAAGGGTTCCAGTTTCTCCACAGCCTCGCCAGCATTTGTTACCGCTTCATTCAGGCGGAACCATTGCCGCGGGCCGTTAAGCCGCGCGGGACATTTGAACGGACCGGAAGTGCGAAGCCGAGTTGCTTCCGTCCTGTGCAATGGGGAAGCTGAAAGAGTAACGGGAATGGCGACCAAGAAGCTGGCGCGGTACGCGAGGGGTTTGGGGGCAGGGAGGCGCTTCCTACCTGGCCCTGGCGTCCTCGGCGGGGCTGGAGATTAGGTGTCCGCCGGCGGCTGCTTCCATTCTCGGGAGTTCCTAGACGGACTGATAGGTTCCTGTCGTTAGCGGAAGGGCGGAAAGAAGCCGGGGAGATCGGAGTTTTCGGCCAGTCTGTGCTTGGTTCTAACCCTCGAGGTTAGAATTCTGTCCCATTTGACCGCAGGCCTGACCTCACTCACAACGCCACTTCCTAGTGGTCCGTTGAAGTCCATATGATGCTGTGTGAAGCGGTGTAAATTTACCAGCGAATAGCCTGGGTTTAAGCAACATATACGATCCGTCCTTTGACAAATAACGGAACCATTTACTGTCACTTATGAAAACAGGTTGCTAACTTGCAGTTTTCTCATCCATTAAAATAGTGTCTGTCTCATACAATTAAATAAAGTCTGTCTGGATTTACTAAGGAAGCTCTGGTGATCTGATAGTAAGAAGTTGCGCTGCAATCTCAAAGGCCAGCAGTTCGAACCCAAAAACTGCTACGCGGGAGAAGGATGCACAACCTCCTGCCTCTGAAAATCTGCCGGGGGTGGGGTGGGTGTGTCTGCTATGGGTCGATTCCCACTCGATGATGCACAACAACACATACAATAAATAATCATGTTACTATGTGCCATCGAATCAACTATGACTTAGCGACCCAGTGAACGATGCTGGCGCTCGTTGTTACAATCACAGACTGTGTCAGTCCATCTCGTTGAAGATCTTCCTTTGTTTCTTTAACCTTCTGCCTTTCCTGCCATAATGTCTGAATTTTCCAAGAACTGGCCTCTCCCAGCATATGCCCCAAAACAGAAGACAAAGTTTCACCATCCTTTCCTGGGGGGGGGGGGGGGGGCGTGGTTTCACTTCCATCAAGACAGACTTGTTTGTTCTTTTAACATTCCATAGAATGTTCAATTCTCTTCCCTAACACCGTAATTAAAAGACATTTATTCTTCTTGGATCATTCTTATTTATTGCTCAACTTTCATATTGCATAGGGAGCAATTGAAAATACTGCCACTTGGATCAGGCGCTCCTTTAGTATCTTTAGCTTTTCAGCACTTTTAAAAAGGCCCTTGAAGAGGAATTGAGGCACTGTTCCACCTTCCTCATCTGTGACTTTTGCAGAGCCTCCAGCAGTTTCACCATGGTGGGGCTGAGCTTCTGAAGGTTTTGCTATTATGTGTGTTGGTCCCGCTTTCATGTTTTCTGAGGCTGTAAATCTTAGAGATTGTCCCTTTTTCTCTCCTGTGGAGCAGCTGGTAGATTCAAACCACTTTCCTTTGGGTTGACAGCACAACTCCTTACCCTAAGCCATTAGAAAACATGTGACAATTACTAATTCTGATGACTACCCTTTGGGTCTGGATTTTCATTTTTTATAGTAAAACATCAAGTACTAAGAGATAAGGATGTTTAAGTTCATCCATGAAACAGGTAAGATGAGAATTTTAAGAAGTCCAACTTCTGAAAAATAGATCAAACTCTGTTGAACACATGCATACTAGTTACATTTTTAAAATAAACTTATTCATAATTGCTAATACCTCTTAGTCCCTGAAAGATGGAATGTGCTGGTAGACTGTGTGCTTTATTTTTATTTGATACTATTCCAGTATTGTTAGGTGCCATCAAGTCGAGTATGACTCATACCAACTCTGAACAACAGACCTGAACCCTTTCCTAACCTGTGCCATCCTCATTCCTGGCACACTTGAGCCCATTGCTATAGTCATTGTGTCTTGTTGAGGATCTCCCTATCTTTCACCAATCTCACCTTTCTGAGCATTGTGTCCCTTCCCAAGGAATAGCCTCTCATTATTTGTCCAGCTCTCACACTGACATCATAGCTCCTCAGTAATTTGGAGAGTTCCCTAACTGCATATTTTCCCATTCTTCCCAGTATAAGTGGTTTCTTTATAAGAAAATGTGTGTGGTTTGTTTGTTTCCTGGTCTTTAATTGTGAAGTTTAATGTTCTTATTTCTAGGTCAGGACCTTGTTAGTAGTTTACATTATAAAAGAAGTACAAATTTGGCTTTAGATAACCTCAATTGATAGTTGGGTTTTGGTTTTTTGTTTATTTTTTCTCTTCGATTTAAAGGGAGAAGATTTACCCTGAAGTAAATTCTTTTTTTTCTTCTTCATGTGTGATGATTAGTTGGTTACGACAGACACATAATTATATATTTCCAGCTTTGATTAGTCAGGCTTTAGAGCACTTCAATTTCTGTAGGCCTATAGCCTAAAACTGAAGTCAAGTTGCCTTAAGTTTTTGTTTATCAGTGCACGTAAAAGGTATGTTTACACTATATACTTTACACTCACATCCATTGAGTAAATTCTGACTCAGCACCCCTCCATTGAGTTCTCAAGACTGTAAATCTTGGCCAGTCTTTCTTTTAGAATCACTAATGGAGCTGCGTGTGGATTCAGACTTCCACAGACTTGCAACATGCTGTAGATTCCTCCACTAAAGTTTGTATACACCCTTGTGGCACAGTGGTTAAAGCAGTATGTTTCCAACAAAAAACCTGTTAGTTCACTAGAGGGAGGTAAGAAGTTGTGCTGCCATCCTAAAGGCGGTCAGTTTGAATCCACCAGCTGCTCTGCAGGAGAAAGATGTACAGTCTCCTCCTGTGCAGGTTACTAGCTCTGAAAAATCTTATGGAGGGCCAGTTATGTGTCAGTTCTAACTCTATGGCACACAGTAACAAATCTAGCATCAGCTCTTGAGAAGAAAATATGCTGCTTTTGTTAAGCTTTACAGCCCTTGAACCCTAATACAGTTACTTTAAATTAGAATTTTCTTCATGCGAATGGATTTTGAATGGGTACTCTGTTAAGTGTGGACTTAATAGACAAGGGCACGCTGTGGCCTAGTGGCAAGAAGCTGCACTACAACCCTGGAGGCATGTGGTTTGAATCCATCAGCCGCTCCACTGGAGAAGGATGGGCAATCTCCTCCCTTTAACTGCCTCTGAAAACTCACTAGAGGGTCAGCTATGAGTGGGTTCCAACTTGATGGTACACAACAACAGTATTTTTTTAAAAATCTGAAAAGTGTAGTGTGCAAGAATTGCCACAGTGTGTAACACAAAGTGGCACAACCTGTTGGAAAAATGGTGCCAATAGGCTTAACTTTGAATTGCCACAAACTTTAAATTTGTTTTTTTTTAAAAAAGGACACTGTCTCGTTGAAGTCCAATAAAACCAGATATGCTATTTATCAGTTGCATTCCTCTATTACCATGATATAAGGCAACAGATAGAATTCACCTAAGTTTGCAGTGACCTTGGAAGATCATACAAGTAAGTGAATATGAAAATGAAAAGGGAAGTTGAGTTAAAATGAAAGCCCATCTTTCTTGTCCTCAAACTCTAGTTCAGTGTCTCTTTAATCATAGTACATTATTAATGAGAGATTTGCCATTAGTTCTGAGGCCTAGTCAAAAAGGAATGTGAATTAATTGAGAATACTGGTTTGCCTTTTTAGGCAGCTTGGATTAATTAGGAGAAAGTCGTTCTCAACAGCAAATGGAAATCTTGGAAGAAGCAAATTCAGTAAGTAGAGCCATAAAGGTTTTTTGTGGTTTCTTGACATTTTGTAACCTTGCATGTTTATGCTGACGATATATAAGGAGACCTTACTCTCTTGCAGAACAGTTGTTCGACTATTTAATTGTCATCGATTTTGAGTCTACTTGCTGGAATGATGGGAGGCGCCACCAGAGCCAGGAAATAAGTAAGTCTGGAAGGCCAGTGGCCATGGTGAGATGGTTCACTTTAAAACTTACAAATAGAAATCAGTAAACAATTGTTTTAGGACAGGATGAGCCATGAATTAGTCTACTGTAAAACTTAAAAATAAAATACCTCTAATATCGAAATGTGTACAATACAGTAAACGTTTCACAGGCTAGAAACTGTAAAGCGGAGACCTGCCCAAGAGGAAAAACCTCAAATTTGTATCTACTAAAACAAAAACATTAGAAAAGTGTTATGATTGCACTCTACCAAAGGTGAAAAGCTTGTGAAACCTGGAAATACAGGGCATTGTCATGTAATTCTAGCTCTCACAGGTTTCACTGTCATCATTTTAAGATTGTCCATAAACCTGTTTGAATAGACAGGGAGAAAATAGTTGTGCAAAAGAGGAGTATGTTTCAACTTTGATTTGTATTTGATTTTAAGATTTTTAAATATATTCAGCTGAGAATGTGAATCTCGATTTATTCCTGGACATAATTTTATCACATTGCACTGCTTTGTTTAGTCATTTTAATGTGCCTTCACTGAAATAACAGTTGTTCTAGAATTGTCACACAAAGATACTAGCTATTTGCTTTAGTATAATTGCACGTTAATGTGGCAGTTACCTATTAAAATATCCATTGATTCTTTCATTTAGTTGAATTTCCAGCGGTATTGCTGAACACGTCCAGTGGAGAGATTGAATCTGAGTTCCATGCTTATGTTCAACCTCAGGAGCATCCAATTCTTTCCGAATTTTGCATGGAACTCACAGGTATAAAGCAGGTAGGCCCTTTTTCCCCACCCCAAGCCAAACAGGTATAATACAAATTTTTAAATACAGCAATCAGTTTCAAGAAAGAAAAAAAAAGCCATACACCCATTCCTCACTTAGCGTTAACCAACATTAGTCTCATTAGCCAACTTTTCCTATTTATACCAGTAATAGAAGGACTACTGTCCGTTTTACACATTGATAATATGTATCTGATATTTGCCGCAGGAATTATGTAACAATATCATCCTTCATTTTGTGATCTGAGTGGTCAGCCACCATTTTCAAATAATTTTGATTTTATCATCATGATCTGGTTTTTGGAACCTATGTATTACCATCAAGACAGTACTCATTACTCTCTAATGGGTCTTAAAAGTTGTAAATCTGGTGGGAACCTGAAAAGACATACTGCTAGTGAGCGTAGATCAATGTGACTGATTTTATAAAAGTTTGTGGGAATGATCTTTTTTTTTTTTTTTAAATTTTTTTTTTTTTGTGGAAATGATCTTAACAAGCACAATGTGTGAAACACAAAATAGATAAATTTTGTAAGCAAACCAATTTAAAATTTAAAAACCAAAGGGGAAAAAAAAGAAACTGCACTGCAGTGCCACCCAAAAAAGTTGTGCATTTTTATGGGAGGAGACTGCCTCACCTTTGTTCTAAGGAGTAGCTGAACTTGACCTACTGACCTTTCAGCAGCGCAGCTCCCTTTTTTTGTTTGGTATCTAACCATGTTGATAAGTGTATATATATGTGTATATACCATTTGCATTTAGATTTATTCAGTGTTAAGAAAAATAATGTGTGCTCCCTAGAAGTCCACTGGAATCTTTTAGAAATGAGAAAGAATCATATAACAATGAGTATCGGTACATGGAATGTGAGAGCCATGAATGAAGGAAAACTAGAAATTGTTAAGAAAGAAACGGAACACATAAATATTGACATATTAGGCATTGGAGAGATGAGATGGACTGGCATGGGGCATTTTGAGTCTGATGACCATATGATATATTACTC